GCAGGTCCCCGACAGCACTCCCGGGAGGGGCCCAATAGGAAATTGTCACTGATTTTTAGTGGGTTTTGAAGGGTTTTGGCGTTCTCCCCAGTTCGGCTTCCAGACGCTCCAAGGCGGCCCAAGAGGCCCGAAAGATCGCCTCAAGACGACCTCGCCCACCAGAAGCTCCCAAGAGGCCCCCAGGAGTCCGCATGAGGCCTCGAGAGGCCCCCAGGAAGCTCCAAGAGGCCTCCAAAAGGCGCCGAAAGGGCCCCGCAAGGCTTCCAGACGCTGGTGATAATGACAATTTTGATTATGCAGGGCGGCCTCAGGCCCAGAACCTAAATCCCCAATACTGCTCACGCGGCATGCAAGACGCTGCGGAGATATCCTCGAGTTCGACGGGGGAGCTTCGGAGACGACGGTGACGAAAATGATGACGATGATTACGATTATTATGAAATTGACGACGACGATGATGATGATGCTGATGATGATGATGCTGCTGCTGATGATGATGATGATGATGATGAGGAAAAATATTATGATGATGATGTTGACAGTGGGCATGATGATGCTGATGCTGATGATGATGATGTTGATGATGGTGATCGTGATGTGAGTGATGGTGGTGATGATGATGGTGGTGATGCTGACGATCATGATGACGATGACAGTGATGCCGTTGAGGATGGTGATGCTGACGATAATTATGATGATGCTGCTGATGGTCAGGATGATAACGCCGATGCTGATAATAATGGTGGCGATGCTGTTTATGGTGCTTGTGATGCAGGAGTGGGCGGATGATGAAGATGATGACGATGATGATGACGATAACGATGACGACGATCACGACGACGACGATAATGATGACGATGGCGATGATGAGGATGATTATGCTGATAATTCAGGTGACGATATTGACGATGATGACGACGATGGCGATGATGACGATGGTGATGACGATGCTGCTGCTGATGGTGGTGATGGTCTCGATTGTGATGATGGTGATGGTCATGGTGATGATGACGATGCCGCTGACGATGACGCCGGATATGATGGTGATGAGGATCGCGATGATGGCGATGACGATTATCCTAGCTAGAACTTGAGCGCGCGCGCGAAGCGCGCGCGATGGTTCTAGTATATGTATGTATGTATGTATGTATGTATGTATGTATGTATGTATGTATGTATGTATGTATGTATGTATGTATGTATGTATGTATGTATGTATGTGTATATATATGTGTAATATATATATATACACATATATATATACATATCGGAGTGTTGTGCCCCCCGGCCGCGCCCGGGACACAATGACAAATGGGGCCACCCCCTGGGTAACCCAATTTGGCCCTTGGGGCCTGTGTTCGGTCCTTCGCAGGGCTGTTCCACCCCCGGGAGCGTTCCAAAAGCATCCACGATCGCCTCCAGACGGCCTAAGAGGCTTCCAAGACGACCCCATAGCGCCCCAAGAGCGTTCGAAGACCGCTTAAGGTGGCCTCAAGACAGCCCAAGAGGCACCCAAGAGGACCCCCACGAAACAAAACATCGTCCCATTCCCTTCGGAAAACGTACAAGTTTAGCATCATCGCTTATTTGGTTTCGAGAGCGTCCAAGGTGGCCCACGAAGCCCCCAAGGTCGCTCCAAGACGGCCCGGGCGGCCCCCAAGAGGGCCCCAAGACGGCCCGAGAGAGCCCAATGACGGCCCAAGAAGTGCCTCAAAGAAGCCCACAAGGCTCTCAAGAGAGCCCCGAGAGAGCCACAGCAGGGCCACCACAGAGCCCCAGGAGCGCCCCAAGACGGCCCCGGCCTCCCAAGACTGCCCAAGAGCGCTCCAGGACGGCCATCGAGGGCCCCAAATGAGCCCCAAGAGGCCCCAAGAGGGCCGCCAAGAAGGCCAGGTGATGCCATTTTGTGTGAGTTTCTGTTGTTTTGGCGTTCTCGCCTCTCCGGTCTTTCAGCAGCTCACGACGGCCTCAGATGCATCCCCCCGATCGCGCCAAGATCCCCAAGACAGCCAAGGAGGCGCCCAAGACGACCAAAGAGCGCCCGACGAATCGCCCCTGCATTCCTCAGTGGCACATAGACAATTTGCTATGCGCGTCCCTTGTGCGCGGCTAGAACCTAAGCGCGCGCGCGGAGGTCATCTTGGGGCGTCGGGTGCCATCTTGAAACCACCTTGGGCCATCGTGGACGCTGTAACCCCTCCGTCCTCCCCCCATCCCGTCCAGACCCAGGCGAGGAGATAGGGGGAGGGGTACTCCCCTCGCGGGATAAAGGAAAAAGGTGTTTTGGAAGAGGGAAAAACGTAGTCGTAAAACCATCTGCGCTCGGAGGGCATGTGGGATCCTGTGCTATGTTGTACAATTCACCACTGCAGCATATGCCATGCCACATGGTCAGTGCCATGCAATGCAACGCAGCCATCTTCACTGCTACGTTATGCTGTGCTGTGCAATGCTACGCAACGGTTCTACGGCTATACAATGCAATGCTATGCGACGCTCTGCAACGACAGGCAACGCAATGCTTGACCACGCCAGGACGCTCGATGCTAGGCGCCCTATAGTTACACGTCATGGTGTGCTGGGCGCCAGCCGCGCTATCAGATGTGCCACGCTGGCGCCCGCAGCCCTTTCGGCCCACGCCGTCCTGCCCCAGGCCGCGCCGAGCTGCCCCCCAGCCTCCGCGACCCCTGAGATGCTACGACGCGAAAAACTGCCACATCGTGACAAATCACTGCCACAGCCCCGGACCCCATCCTCCTACGGCTTGTTTCGAGCCAGATAATTGATCGATCCGTGACGGTCCCGAGGCCCGAAGTTATAGGAAAACGCTTGGCTCGAACAAGAACGCGACGCCCAGATCTCAGGTCCCTCCGCAGCCCGCGGCCAGAAAGATGGCCCGCACCCGCAGCCCCCTGGCCGCCCTGCTCCTGGCGGCGGCCGCGCTGTGCCTCGGGGCGCAACTCCTGGCCCCGGCCTTCCTCCAGCCGAGCCCGGCCAGGACGCGGGGGGCCCCCAAACGGTGTGGTGACCACACCGCGTCACGTGGCGAGTCGTCGTCCGTCGTGCCGTGACCACACCGTGTGGCGAGTCGTCTTCCGTCGTCCGTCGTCCTTCGCCCGTCGTCCGTCGCCAGGCGTCCGTCGCCCGTCGTCCGTTGTCCGTCGTCGGTCGTCCGTCATCGGTCGTGGGTCGACCGTCGCCCGTCGCCCGTCGCCCGTCGTCCGTCGTCCGTCGTCGGTCGTCGGTCGTCGGTCGTCGGTCGTCGGTCGTCGTCGTCCTCCTCCTCCTCCTCCTCCTCCTTCTCCTCCTCCTCCTCCTCCTCCTCCTCCTCCTCTTCCTCTGGCGCTGGTGCTCGCAGTCCTCGTTTGCCAGCGAGTAGGTGGGGGGATTCGGGTTCACCGCACGGAGTGGGGACTTGGGCCGTTCTCCCAGGATGTTTTTCGGGCGACTGGGGCCTCCGAGTTCCCGAAACGGTGCGGTGACGGACCGCGTGATGAGGCCTCGAGGTCACCGCGCGGTCTGTCACCGCACCGTTTCTTCGGAGGAGGAAAAGGTACCCATACAGCTACCCTAGCCTGGTTTTCCACTTTTTGGGCCTCCTGGGAGGCCCTCGTTGCCACCGCCGGATTCGCCTCGAAATCCTTGTCAGAACGCACCCCAGGAGAGGTCGGGGGAGTAGCGTTAAGTCGGGCGTGTCCCTCTACAGGAGGAAGATTTTTTTTAAACGTCAGAAAATAGTATGGGGACGATTCTTCGACTATTTTTGAGTACTTTCGAATATTTTTGGGGTATGTGTTATTTGTCCAAAACCCGCCTGCAGGGGCACACGCCCGACCTATAAGCCTTTGGGGATTCCAAGGTCGCTCTGCACAGTCTGTCACCGCACCGCTGTTGGCCCCCCAGCAGGACGCAGGAGGTCGACCCGGCCCTGGCGGGCGCCCTCGCGGGCTTGATGGCGCTCCCCGGCGACGCGCTGGCGGAGGGAGGCGGCCGATGGACATAGCGGACAGACCCCCAGACCCCCTCGAGTCGTGGCAAGAGTCACGGCGGAGTGTTCTTGATGTCTTCGGCCTCGCCCCGGGGCCCCGAGATCGAGCGAAAAGGCCCGTCTGGACAGACTTCAGTCGCCAGGATCTCAGGGGGGATGAGAAGCTGGTCCCCGGGAAGGGGCGCCCATACTTCCAGGCGCCCAGACTTCGCGCGCCAGACGCCCCCCCCCCCCCCGCCCCTCGCTTTAAGTCGGGCCTGTCCCTCCACAGGAGTAATCTTCAAAAGCGGCCACACATAGTCTGGGGACGATGTTTCTATCATTCTCAATTCGTTTGAATATTAGTTGGGCTACTTTTTTCTTTCGCCCTAAATCCGCCTGTGGGAGGACATGCCCGACCTGACCCTCGTTGGTGCGCCGAGAGCGCGCCGGGGGCGGCGCGCCGCCGCGGGATCCGCGCGGGCCTCTGGAGGCTCGTGCCGGCTCTGCCGCTCGGGGCTCGGTGCAGACGGGGGCTCATGTATCGTTCGGACGATCCCCGTCCCGATCTCCATCCCCATCGCGATCCCCACCATCCCGCCACCCCAGTTGGGGATGTGCCCCTCGAGACTCGAAGGGAAGAGCCTATATCCCCATCCAGGGGGACGAGTCGGCCCGTGGGGCCCAGGCCACGCCCGTGGGGACAGGGATCGGTTAAACGATGCCAAGGGGGCCAGTCAGAGCAACGGATCTTGCAGGATCCTGCTGGGCCGGGGCTGCACTGACCCAGGTTTGGGTGCAGGCTCCTGCAGGATCCTGCCGGGCCCTGCAAAGCCTGACAGGCCCGGTCTGGATTGACTGGGGTCAGTAGATTCCTGAGCTGTGTTTTTGTGTGTGCGCTCTTCCAGGGAAGATTCCGGGAGCCCCCCTCGCCGGCTCGCCGATCTGCCTCTCGAAGCCCTTGGTGTGGCTCATCTACCCGCTGTGCGACCTGGTCTTCCTCACCTCGCCCATCTCGGGGGACGCCGGCTGATCAGAGGAGGAAGAGGTACCGATACCGCTGTACCCTTGCCTCGATTTCGCCTTTTGCGGTCTCCCAGGAGGCCCTGGCCGCCATCGCTGGATTCGCCTGGAAGTTCTGGGGGGTGGGTGTGTCAGTACCTTCCCAGTTGACCACCTCACCGACCCCGGTCGGGCCCATGCTGGGCACAGGATGGGCCCTGCCAGGACCGGTGAGGTGGTCAGTCCCAGACATCCGACGATACAGTGGGGACCCATGCCAAGAAGCACCCTGCTTGCCTCCAGGGTGCCCTGGGTTTCTTGGGTTTCTTGGGATTCGATGGTTTTGCTATGGGAAGTGCGACGTTCCCACACCCAACATCAATGGACTTCCTGGGGTCTCAGGGTCGGGTTTCTCGTGAAGGCTTCTCGTGGTCGAGCCCCTACTGCGTGTCTTTTTCAGCGCGAGGCCCGAGGGTTCCCGGCCCCTTCCCCGGGCCAGTGTTTCTCCCCGCAGCCGTGCTTGGTGCTCCCGGGGCCAGACAGCGGGCCCCCGCTGGCCGAAGTCGGGGAAGGACGCCTGGACTGAAAAGGCGTCGTCGGATGTCTGGGGCTGACGTCCCGCGACCGTCTACCTCGCCCCCGTCCTCTTCATCTTCTTCGGCGTCATCGTCACCGCCATCCAGGAGAGACTGTTTTTTGTTAGGGTCCAGCGACAGCCCGGGTCATCGGGCCCGCCCGCCCCCCCGCGGATAGCCTGACTTTGTTGCTTGCGCAGGCCCGAAGCGGGTGCGCAACATACTGGTGCGCGCGCGGGCATGCGTGTTGGGCTGCCCGCGGGAAGGTTAGGCTAGCGGCCGGCACCTCCCTTCCCACGGGGCAACCTGGGTTGTCTGGGCGCAATGAAGAACCGTCGCCAGAGCTTCAACCCTCAACCACAGCCGCATTTGAATTGATTTCTCTGGAGGGTCCCTCGGGGAAGAACCCGCCGACCTCGACACGAGCATCTTGGTTTGGTCGTGGTCGATTTGGCCGTTCTGGGACTCACATCGACCACAATCAGTGCTAAGCTGGTTCCGGTGTTTTGACGACTGTTGGCATGCATAAGACATCCCTGAGGGTGTGTCTTCGATGTGTTTGTGGCCGCATGCTGTCCCCGCTGGCTATCGCCGATGCATTGCCGATGTATCGCCGATGTATCGTCGATGCGGCGCGATCCACCAAACCCACCTACTGGAACCCCAAACTTTGGGAGGCCTCCATTTATTCGAGTAGTGGATGGACTACATAATTGATTCACCCCAAACTCGAACTGTTCGCCGCACCTACGAACAAGACGTATGGGCTGTATGATCTCGACAAGCAGTTTCATGCTGGGGGCCAATCAATTCTGCAGTCGTTGCCCTACTCGAGTTACGTATGGGCTGTATGATCTCGACAAGCAGTTTCATGCTGGGGGCCAATCAATTCTGCAGTCGTTGCCCTACTCGAGTTATCTCGGGATCCCGCAAAAAGGGTGTGTGTACACTGGTGTGTATGTGTGAGACAGAGATAGAGAGAAAGAAAGAGAGTTTGTTCGCTTTTTGCACCGAACCGCCCCAAACAGATGCCCCCCAGCCGCCAGCAGCTCCCGATAGTTTCCGATAGGTGGGGCATGCGGGGGGCATCTGGTTGCACCAGCGGATCGAACTCATGCCCACCCCCACGGCCCCCCCCGCTTTGGTGGATCCCGCTTTTCGGCGACAAAATGAAGCACCATCTCCAGCTCGTGCTGCCGGCCACCCAGCCGGACGAGGACCTGCGGGCGGCCTGAGCAGCCCTGCGGGGCGGTGGGGGGGAGCCCCCGCTCCCGGCAGGGGCGGCAGCCCTGGCTGTGCCGGCAGAGTCGCTGCCCCCTTCCTCCTCCTCCTCCTCCTCCTCCTCCTCCTCCTCCTCCTCCTCCTTGGCAGAAGCGCGCAAGGTACCAGCGTAGGTCTTTTGACGTTGAACCCCCTTATGCGGATGTCCTTGTCCTTGTCCTTGTCCTCCTCCTCCTCCTCCTCCTCCTCCTCCTCCTCCTCCTCCTCCTCCCCCTCCTCCTCCTGCACCTCCTCCTATTGTCACCGAGCGCGTTCCACTACTCGCAAATTGCCTACGTACTCGCAATCGTCAGAAAAACACATGTTCGCCTCGATGTAATGCGTCGTAGATCCCCCGCGCCGGATCCGGGCCATTTGCGCGTAGTTCCTTTGCGAGTAGTGGGACGCGCTGGTCTATCTTGGGTCGGAGGGATCCCAGAACCTCTCTCGTTACGTTGCATCTTCGGGGGGCCTCGCCTGTTCCGAAAATTGGTATCTTTTCTTGTGCCCGACTCGGGCTCGATGCGGACTCGACGCGAATTTGGCGTGGATTCGACGCGGATTCGACACGGACCCAACGAGGCCGACATGGATTCGACATGGATTCGACACGGTCCCCCAAGATAGCAACATCATTCTCATCGTTCGAAAAGGAAAAGCGACATAATTTTCGGAGTTCCGCATGAATTTCTTGAGTCGGCGCCCCGGCCCCCCCCTGGCGGCGCCTCTGGCGCCGCCCCATTGTGCGCTCCGTGCGTCAGGGGGATCCAAGAGGTCCGCACGGACCCCCGATAATATCTCTCACAAAAATCACGACGGAACGCTTTTCTCTATTGCTCGGCTTCTGGAGGCCCTCGCCTCGTTTAAGGACCGTCCGTGAACGACTGGGGATGAAACGCCAGACCCAGGAGAAGGGCCCAGACCTTTGGGGGGCCATGCCAAAAACAACTCACGACGTCGGGGGTCTGGGAAAGGGGTGGGTGGGGGGCAGGGAAGAGGGAAGAGAGGGGGGGGGCAGGGTTTATTATAGTGGCCTCCGGCCATTGCCGCCGATCCGGGGCGCTCCGGATGCCGGTGGACATGGACGACGACGACGACGACGACGACGACGACGACGACGACGGCGGCGGCGGCGGCGGCGGCGGTGGCGGCGACGACGACGACGACGACGACGGACGACCAACGACCCTCCCCGCCTGCAGAGCGGAGGGGGGGGCGAAAGCGCTGACCCCCCCCCCCCTGCAGAGCGGAGGCGGGGGCGAAAGCGCTGCCACCGCCCCCCCCCCCCCGGGCAGAGGCGGAGGGAGGGTTGGCCCCCCCCCTCCTGCAGAGCGGAGGCGGGAGCAAAAGCGCTGACCCCCCCCCCCCCCTCCCTAGCAGAGCGGAGGGGAGGGGCGAAAGCGCTGCAGCCCCCCCCCTGCAGAGCGTAGGCGGGGGCGAAAGCGCTAACACCCCCCCCCCTGCAGAGCGGAGGCGGGGCAGGCGAAAGCGCTGACCCCCCCCGCACTCCCCTGCAGACCCTATCAGAGCGGAGGGGAGGGCGAAAGCGCTAACCCCCCCAACCCCCGGAGGCGGGGGCGAAAGCGCTGACCCTTCCCCCCCCCTTCACGACGTCCGGGGTCTGGGAAGGGGGGGTCGGGGGGCAGGAAAGGGGGGGAGAGCAGGGGGGGCATGGTTTATTTTTATTCCTCCAATTCGATGCGTTTCGATGTCGACGGCTTTCGATTCCGATTCGATTCGCCTTCGGACGCCAACTTGGGTTGGGCTCCGATGTCTCAATGGAGGCCTTGTAGCCTGCTGATTTCCGCCGATCCGACTTCTCCTGACTCGGCTGCCGCTCTCCGCCCACCCGATTCATTCCGATCGCCGATCCGACTTAGCGATTCGATCCTGGGCCCTCCCTGGGAGGGGCATACGGCACCTGCCGCGTGCAGCTAGAGCTTCGGCTCCGCCGCCGGGCGCCCTACTCGGCATCAAGGATGCCCCCCCCCCCCAGGGCGCCGGGAGGCGCCAGGTAGGCCGGCTGCGTGAGCTGAGTCGCTGCGCCCCCCCTGCTCCGAGGCGGGAATTGATCCATAACCACCGCCTCGGGGACCGATCTTCGCGGACCTCCACAGGCGGTAGATATGGATGTATTCGGGCCCCAGGGGCCAAAATATATCCATATCCGCCGCCCGCCGTGGCACCAGGACGTCGGCTCCCAGACGGTGGATATGGATAAATCCCCACCCCGTACCTGCTGCCCCCCCCCCTCGTTGGTCGGACCCGGCCCCCCCCCCCGCGGGCCCTCCCGCTTCGAGTAGGGGATCTTTTACAACGTGGATCTGCCCCAGAACTGTTTTTGTTCCGTCGAATCTACAAAAAAACACGGAGGACTCCGTACATCTACGGAGCACTCGACGCATTCGTCGTGGACTCGGCGGGATGGAGCAATTCTGGGGTACATCGAGCCTGTGATTAGTCGATCCCCTGCTCGATCACCGGGCGGCCGATCCTGGGGCCATCCCTCCGTCGAGCGAGCGCGCGCTAAGCAGTCCAGCCCTCGCCTCGCACAAAGAGGGGCCGCCCGGGACCGCCCAGGGGACCGCCGGAGGCCGTTGAGGGAGGGCCAGTGGGCAAGAGGAGGAGGAGGAGGAGGAGGAGGAGGAGGAGGAGGAGGAGGAGGAGGAGGAGGAGGAGGAGGAGGAGGAGGAGGAGCAGGAGGAGCAGGAGGAGGAGGAGGAGGAGCAGGAGCAGGAGGAGGAGGAGGAGGAGGAGGAGGAGGAGGAGGAGGAGGAAGAAGAGGAGCCGCTAGGTCACTCGCGGGGGCGCGAAGGTAATCGCGCTTCGCGCGACGCGGGCTGGGCCTGAGCGGCTGCCCTTCCCCAGGGGGTGGAGCGAGGGCGCGAGGGCGCGAGGGCGCCAAGACAACAGCGTGTCGCGCACCGCAGGGCGCGATGCGCGGCTTCAGGTGACCAAGGAACGGGGGGTGGTCGGCCACTCGCAGAGGGGGTCGTGCCCTGACCGCCCACGAGGGCACACAAAACACCAGGCCCTGGAAACCTAAGTTCTTGTCGAGGTTTTATCGGGACGATCGACATGAGTACGGAAATAACGGGTACACAGACCGACGGCAGTTCCTGTTCATTTTGAGCAGGACTCGCTGCCCGCGCCGCCGCGGATGTTGCGCCTGGAAACACAAAGCCGCCCGCCCAAC